ACAGAGACAGAGACAGAGACAGAGACAGAGAGACAGAGAGAGAGACAGAGAGAGAGAGAGAGAGACAGAGAGAGAGACAGAGAGAGAGAGAGAGGTATTGAAAGTATGAAACATTTTGGTGGTCGAAAATAATCAGTAATGCGCCGTGCACATCTGTTGTAAATAACATTGAAAGATCCCATCAGGTCTCCATTTTTACAAAACACTGTCATATTTCCTTCAGGGCAAGGCGGACGCCCTCTGTACCAACATGAACCAGGGCGCGCCGTGGCCGTACTGCACCGTCAAGTCCTGGCCGTCTGCAGGAGACTTGTACATCAAAGGTCGCACGGGGCCCGTGGCGGCGGTGAGTTTCAGCTTGGATGCGGAGCGACTCAGGATGGTGAGTATAATATCTGGCGAAAGGTTTCCATGGTGGGATTCAACATGAGTGGCGAGTGTGGCTTAGAAGAAGGGTGTAGCCAACCCAGCCATGGTAGAGCCTGTCCGATAAAGACACAAACAGTGCAAACCGTTTGATCCCCGTGAAGTTCACGGCAAATGATTGGCAGCTTAGGGTGCAAATGATTTCCCCTAAAAACGACTGCCTGAAAATCATAAATTTAAAGACAAAATTAATAAAAAAGAACATAGTAAACGGTAAACTTGCCCTTATTTACGCGTGCATTTTTGCGGGAAATCAAGCGCACCCAAAGACGCCAGGTAGTTTTTTTTTTACTTATTAATTTATTTTCTTTTTCTTTCTGTAACTGAACGACTTGCTTTTTACAGTGAAGGATTCATATAACCGAGTTGATAGATCTCGGAACAGAATTTTTCAACTTTATTAAAAAGTCTCCCTTACTCACACAGATGTGACAGTCCCGACAAAAAACCAAATCCATTTAGTGTTGAGTTCAATGTTCAACATAAATTAGGCAATTTTCCTTGAGATGCGCCATTGAAAACCTGAGTGATAAGGGACGTTGTGTTGAGAATTTTGACAATTTGCCCAACGTTTCGGGTGTTGTCAAAACTCGTATCTGAGACAGTTTCAAGCACGGCTTTTATATCAAAATATAAAAGTTAATAGAGGTTCCATCTCGGCTGACATATTATCCGTCCAATTCCGTTTGTTTGTAATTTGTGACAGGGAGTGTCTGCATCAGTCGGCCTGAAGAAACCTACCGCGACACAGTGGCTTCCTCCTGCCGATCGTCTGCCCCATGTGCTCCCGGGACTGAAGCTCAAAGAAGACAAGACGGTCAACCTGACCGAGGTCATCACGCTGATGGCCTCCGAGGCCGTGCCCAGGCTTCAAGAAGCCCATCTCAACTTCACCTTCTGCCCGAACCAATTCACCGGCTCGCAGTACACCATCACCGCCACGGTGATGGGCACGGACGGTGAAAGCTCCTGGGCCCAGTATCTCTGTGACAAGTATCCGTGTGAGGTATGCTGATTTATTACAAAATGTAGACAGAGAAAAAGAGAGGTTGTCGTTACGCCGGCACTAGGCTGGTGGAGCGGTAGCACGCAAGCATTACAACCGGTCATAGAATGGAATAAAAAGACTAGATTGGCAGTTCGTGTTCACGCATGGTCTTGCCTGGAGGGTTACGTGTTAGAGGAAAGATGTGTACAAAAACACGCATCAAACGTGACGACTACAGGACGCAACTTAAACCGAAGGCGGCATTATCACCCCAAGTTAGCCCAAGAGCAGGGCGCCATGATTTTCTACACGTTGCCATGCAACGCGCACCCACACGAGATCACAAAGTGAGGTCCACGGTCTTCAATGCACAGGTTTTTTGGGGGGAGGTGATTCTTTTTGTTTGATTTCTTTTGTTTTTAATGACATTGTCGGACATCGGAGAGTGAATGAAACTATTATTTTTACTTGTTTGTGTGTAATATAGGGCTGCAAAGTAATTTGGGGCGGTGGGGATATTAATCCCTGGCACTATTTAGTACAATCTCGTTTCATAACAAGCCTGACACCGTTCAGTACATAGGTTCATACTTTTATGAATACTAACATAACTGAAGGAGGGGGCATGGATTCCCCGCCCCCCCCTTCGCCTCAGATCCCCAATAATGAAACGTTTAGTCATTGCATTGGCCATCCCCGTATTCTCTGTTTTTGCTATTGTTTTAAACTTATGGTTACGTCATTTTTGATCAGCAGTTCCAATATCTCTGGTCTAGTTGCGACGATTTTGATTTCTTGACTTATTATAACAACAAACTTGTTGGCCGACAGTAAACAAAACTATGGCTTGCCAGGAGTACATCTATAAAAAGAAAAAATATTACAAAGTAATCTCACGGAAGTATTTTGCGGGCAAAAGACTACCATTTAGCAACACTGCATAAATAAGTGTTCATTTTCACTAACTTCATGCAGAAAGTGTTCCCAACAAAGGGCCATTTTCTTTTCAAACTTTGGCCGCTCAGAGAAGTGGTTGGTGTTTATGAACAAAAGACACGGTGATATCACCTGACAGAGTAAACCAAATGCTGACGTCCTTTTTCTGAGCAAAAATAACAAAATCTCGCTTTTGTTCCTTTCAGTTCAGTTAGATGACTCACGTAAACTCTAGAGGCAACATGTCCGCAAAGTGATTGATATTTCAATCCATTTGACCTTTTTTTTTGGCCCAATCCCCGAACAACTTTCTTTCAGGCATCCAAAAACATGCATGTATTAGCACTGCCATCGCTTGTTTACTTTTATTTATCTTTCGGGCCTGGACAGAACCTCATCGAGATCACGCCCCCGTTTCCGACAGTTTTGCGTCACACTGAGCCATGACGACCATTGTGTGCCTTCAAAAAATATCAGCATCGACGACGCTACTCTATATAATTGCGCTTAAATGATGACTTGTTTTCAATTCTTTTCTCTCCTTTCTTGAAAAAAAAAATACTAATCGTCTGCATAGCTGAGTCATCCCACCAACATCGTCGCTTTTAACGGCAGACAGCTACCCAGCAACACCGTGATTACCGCAGGAGGGCAGTGGACGCAGATGTACGCCCTCGTTGTTTGCTGGGGTGGGCCTTACGACAACAAGACTGGCCTGTACACGGGCCATTTCCAGTTCAATGCGGTTGCAAACCGCCAGTAGTGAAAACAGACATTCCGACGCCGATAAAGCTAACAAGACGCTGAACGACACCACCTTTATCAAGTTATATTCATTAGTATTTCGAATATGATTTGGAGGACACAATTTTGAACGACTCGCTGGGATTGTTAAACGAAAACCTTTTACTGTAATTACTGCAAGTGATTTTTAGTTCTGTCGGAAGTGTTTTTAATCACTTCCGTTTCCTCGTAACTAATTAACAGAATTCTTTGAAACCTATGACTCCTTTGAAATCAAAACTAAAACAAAGGTATGCAAGGAAGTTACATTTCCTTTTATCGAATGGCACGGGAGACGTTTAAGACGCTTGATTGCTGCACGAGATAGTGTTGGCCAGTTTTACATTGTAGTACCCTTCCAACTTCCGTGTCTTTGAGACAGAAACATTGGACAGCCGATCATAAACATGCATTCATTTCGTGCTGGTCTTACCACACCAGTCTAAAACAGCGTGTTTCGGTCTGAGCATGTGCACCTTAGTTCGAGCACACGACAGTAACACGGTCACGTGAGACCGTTTTGTTTTACCCCCAACAAGCATCTGGACGTCTCCCACTGCTAAACAAAGAGATCGGAGTGAGATTATCATGAAACGCACTTTGACAAAATGTAATTAATTCAGGAAAACTAATAATCAAACTCTTGCACAACGTCGTAAAGGTCTTCGTTTTTTTTTTTCCTTTTTCATTTCGATATTTCATTTACTCAGAATTTCAGTTCCCCAGTTACCTTTATGGCTCTGTGCCTGCGGCATATTATTTTTAATTTCCTCATTTTGCTCAATGCGAAAGAATTAAGCGATTAGTGAGCGCCTATCAATTGGAGCGATGGCCTTTACTTGGTCGAGCTATAGTTTTTAATCGACAACCTCGACCTTCCGGGTGCTTTTTATTAACCTACAGTTTTGCGCTTCATTGGTAACTTCCATGTGCATCTGCTTCTGAAAAGTTATTGCACAGAAAACACCTCAAAAGAAAAGGCAGGTCACCAGCCAAAATCCAATATTGTGTGTATACTAAATTGCTACCTGGCTAAGTTTGGTAATCTTTTAAAGTTGTTTTGCATTTAATTTTTCTTGTTTGGCAGTTTTGGGTCTGCGTAAACTCAATTGTGTGTTCGTCTTGGAAGCCTGATTAAGTAACAATGAGATAAGAGGCTACGGCCATGTCTGAAACGTGCTACTGACAAAAAAAGAACCCCTGGTATTGGTCTATTGAATGCGCATCTCTTCGAAACTCCAGAGGACCTAGCTCTAAACAATAGATTCGTATGCAGCCAAAACCAGTGAGCCGTATAGACATTTTCACTGATAAATTCATAATTATGCACGCATGCTCACAGCTTTTTTTTTCTGAGGAAAATCCATTTAATCGTTTTTGCTATTAGTTTCTAATCTAAGCCAGATTTTTAGTAGCCTACTACAGCCTAGACTTTACTATCTTGAATTGTCCTGTGCGCACGAGATTGCTGTAACTAACCTGGTCTCCCTTTGTGCTGTTTTATAGCAAAAACGATTTAATGGAGTTTTCTGAAGAAAAAAATAAACAAAGAAAGGAATCCTGGGAGAAAATTATCAAAATCGTACCCCTGTACGTTTTTAATGGCCCGCTCGCATTTCTTGCCGCAAAGGCCGTGTGTGCTCAAGCGTGCATAATTATGAATTTATTAGTGAAAAAATCTAATAGAAGCCATTATTCTGGTGGTACTGCGGTTCAGCAGCCGGTTATTTTTTTATTTGTTTTTTTACCATCGTATGACGTTATTTCAAAAAGCGACCCGCGCTCCAATCTCAAGATGGATGCGTTAGTCGGGTGTCACACGCTGTCGTGGCGTCTCCGCAGACCAGCCTGAAAATGAAAGCTTCCCTCAGACAAGGCCCACAATTCTCTGTGATCACTGTCAGTTTCTACCTCTCTACCAAAACTCTTCCCTACTGCTGCAGCTATGGAATTATAAGAACTTAATTGTCATAAATGAAAACAAAAACCATTTTACGCAGACGGTTCCAAATATATGTCAATGCAAACGAACTTGGTTATCTGTGTGTATTTATTCATTGTCCCTTTTGTGTTTGCATTACGGGCAGTTGCTAAATTTTCTTGGACATCTTTAGAATAATGTCAACGAACCTGTCATCTGTTGCAAAGCCAAGGGGTGGTTTTAAGAAAAATCAGTGTGCGACGATTGTCGAGCTGTTTAAATTCTGTAACCTAGCCGCTTTTGATGTTATAGTAAACTTAATTTAGCGAGAAATGAAAACTGGTTTTCTACATGACTAGACAAATGATTTTGCAATTCAGATTGATGAGACGGATCTTCAAAAAACCCATAAATACTGGAAAGAGAGTTGATGATACGTGCCCGAACCGAACATCAGGAACATCAGGTCTCTTGCAAGCCTGGTATGTTAACAACAGTAGGTGGTCGGATCGGGTCTCAACCTTGGTGCTGCTTTGAAGTTACCGAAACCATATAACCTTGGCACTGATCGGAATCCTTTCAGGAATCTCTGCTGCTATTCACGTCCTTGCTGGGCTCGTTCGGGGGTTCTCAAAAGGCATTTCAACAGTCATTTTCCAACTACTAAACCATTATAAGCAGCGTGAAGTAAGCAGTTCTCATGGACTGGGAGCGGACGTCAAATGAAACTGTACAGTGCATTTGTTGTACAGTGAAGCCTGTCCGTTCATGGAAAAACAAGTAATTGTTACTTAAGGCGAAACCATGTATGACATAAGTTACTGGAATTAGTTTAATTACAGGTTGCTGAATCAGGTGCGTCCGTGAACATTGGTACTTAAAGCTTTTCTAAGTCAGCATGCGACATTTTGCTTGGAGATTTTACGGTAAAGCACCTCCGTCAGTATTTGTTGCAACCTAATAGCCCCATGACTCGTGGTTAGCCTTGACCGAAGTCTGTATTGATTTGCTTGTTTTGTTTCTGTTAGCGAGCGGGCGACCGTGGCCGCTATTTTACCCCCCCCCCCTTGTTTTTATCTAGCCCGTATGCACCCCACCCCCCAAAAGAGAGAAGTTGTGCGCTGTATCAGTTCCCAGTTTAAGGCCGAGCGGGATGGCCCATGAACAGTAGGGGTTCACTTGCTAACACGAGCCTTAAGAGAAAAGCGCGAACGGAAAGCAGGGACCAGATGATGCAAGTATAGACTAATCCGATTAGACGTCTTAACTGGGGTGGCCCAGCGTTCACACGCACATTCTTCAGCTTTTTTTATCGACGCCATAGAATATTTGGCCATTTGCCATGTACATGTCGATGGTAATCTTAAATTTATAGCAATAAGATTCAAAACAGTTATGCAGATTGATTGTCGCCAAAACGCAGACTTAACATCATTTGTCAACTTTGACACGTTTTGCAAATATTCCAACTCTTTCCCTACAGCAGAAGGTTCACTGACAGCCGCACCATTTTCAGCTGGTGGTTCCCAACCACTGTACTTCAGCGGGAATTTCCGCGTACGGTTCTGGAAACTCACGACCCCGCGTTGCGCAACGACGGAACATCCCAAGCCACTTTGCTCACAATGCCTTTCTGTCACTATAAGGAAGAATAGTCGTTTCAAAGATCAAACAGGAAATCCAGGGTACTGCTGTAAACCTGCGAGAGTTTTCGTTATAGAGCGCCAGTGCGGTTGGCTGTGAGGCAGTTTGCGGGAAGATTTCATGAAGTGAGTACGCTGTGTCGTGTCCCCGTTTACTGTGCATTTTTGCTATCACCCCCCAATAAAACTACAACAAGAACAACAACAACAACAACAACAACAACAACAACAACAAAACACCCTGTTAAATCCTCTGACAAACAAACAAACAAACAAACGAAATGAATAAACCTTTATCTGCAACTACCCTTTTAAAAACACAGGCAGTCCTTTTACGAGAACTACGGTCTCTGCTTGCATACACATAGACCGCACGTCGCTTCGATTTCGAAGGCAGGGGCTTCACCATGCGGCAAGCTATGAGGCTCCCGATATATGTTGCGACGCTTCTCACTGTCGGTAAGTGAAACAAAATAGTGTAAGTTCGTACCTATGGGTGTCACGAGTGGGACAAAGACGGGGGACAGGTGAAAGGTATGCAGGAATGAAAGACAAGGGAATTAACAGGGAAGAATAGGAGGAATTAAGGTTATGAAAAAGTCTCGCTTCACTCCAATTTGTCGGCGAGATGATGCTCTAGGGAAATATACTGTTCAGCAAGAATCAGTCCGTTTTGTATCCGTATTTTTTTCTGCTTTTCATTCCTGATCAGTTTCATAAACGGTCGTACAGAACTCCTGCCACCGATACTCTGCAATGTCTTTGCGCGCACATTGTGTGTGCATTAACGATAGGCTAACAAGGATGGAATGATTGCTGTTCCGTTTGAGACGATCGATGCTCTAGCTCCTGCTGGCGCATGTGGTCTAAACTGACGTAAAAAATAAAAGAAACAAGATAAGAGTTTGTGTAAGGTAAATGTAAGTTACTCATGACTGTTTAAAGTGGGCACTATGTTTTTATGTGCATATACCTTGTTTCCTAATTCACATAGTTTCTGCCATTGACATCCCCGTGTTTACCAACTTCGTGACGACTGAGGTCGCCACAATTTCGCACAGCTCAACAGTAAAGTTGATCGGTTACCTGTGCGGCCAAGCCCGGGGGAACCATGTGAACGTCTCATTGGAGCTACCCCACAACCCTGACTGGAATCCATCATTGGGGGTTCTGTATTACTATGTCGTGGATTCACCCAGTAAGGTAAGTGGCTGCTAACCTGGGCAGTAGACGTAACATGGGCATACGCAGTTTGCAGTAGATGTTTTTTTTTATAGGTATTATCTAAATTAAATTGAACTCCCGAGATCAAACCCAAGCGACTGGCGTCTGCCTATCGCGATAGAGTGAACCGAGCCCCGGATCCTGACAGTAACCCCAGTTTGACCCCCCAAAAAAATTCTTAAAGGAACCATGTAATGTATTTACTTAGAATCTTTTTTGGTGTGTATTTGCTCTTTTCCATTATGTAAATCTTGTTTGAGAAAGATACCTTTAGACCAGTTTTAGCTTGTGCACCGCAGCGGTGGCTCTCTGTTGGGTGGCAAGTGAGGGCGCTTTTCATGCCATGCTTACAAGTGTGGCGAACGTAGTCCGTGCTACGATCCTAGGATACTAACGTACTTATAACATGCCATGTTTTGTGGGCAAGACCTAGCAAGGCCCTTTTATAGGTAACGGTGGGTAGTTGGGTCGTGTGACTTTTAGACATCCAAAACTTACCAAACCTGTGCAGACAAGTGAGGGCACATTTGCCAGTTGACAGGTATTCATGCTCAGATTGTGAACTCCAATATCGCTCAGTGAAAACATTCTGCAGAAAAGGTTCTTCACTGGCTTATTGCCATATATACTTACACAACGATATTTTGCTAAAAGAAATAAATCTAGATGTTGTCTATGCACAAACCAGTAAAGCGTTGAGGTTCAGCGCTTTTGATGACATCATAGTTTTGGACAGGAATATGCAATAGCCATTAGCATAAAAAAGAGAAGCTCAAAAATCTGGGTTAAATTAGTCAAGCAGTAATTCTGATTAATTGAAACCGAGAGTTGTAATTTCAAGGCTTTTAGAAAAAATGATAAAATATTTCCATACATTGTCCCTTTAGGCAAAATAAAATGTGCCTCCTCTGCAAACCCTGAACATATCTACCCACAATGTGCCGATTTATTTACATATGTGCAACTGATTTTGATGTGCAATGGGTTCAGGCCAAAAAGTATCTGTTAAACCCGAATATAAGGCATGTTGTTGATTCACTTACAAAATATCTGCAGGGTGAGGCGGACGCCCTCTGCACCAACCTTCACCAGGGTGTGCCAGGGCCCTCCTGCAATGTGAAATCGTGGCCGTCTGTGGGTGATTTGTACATCACTGTTCACAGTGGACTTGCAGATGCGGTGGCATTCAGTGTTATTGGCACGAGTTACACAAAACGTGAGGTGAATCCAGGCGTTGGTGGAGAGCGAACCAGGAAGGTGAGGGTCTTGAGGGCGTGGGGCGTACAATTATTTCTTTTTTCTCTCTCACATTTTCACGAGTAAGGGGAAACTGCAAAAGGGGTTGAGATGTTCACTTATGAGAGTCAAAGTATACATTCGCCGTACAGTGTTGGCTCTTCTGTTTAAAACTGGACATGACATCGTTTGACGCACTTTGTTGCAATCAAGACTATTATTAACACATCACCCAAGATGTCCACAAAGAATTCCTCAGATTCCAGTGAATCAATTACACCACCACAGAGCGGGGGATGTTCTCCCGTCTCATATCTTGCTTCATATGGTAAATTCCTTGATCATTAGTGGCACCGAACGAATTTGTTTGTTTACTGCAAGTGACCTTTGGTCATTTTGTTTCTTATTATCTTGGTATAATTGATCCTTATTAGTCATTTATGTATTTTTCTCGTTTTTACTTTCTTTTGGGAATTCTGCAAAATATTACAACCTATTATTTTGAAACAGCAGAAAAATCAATACCAACTAAAACAGCGATCTTGAGGGCTCAAACAGGAAATTATCTCACGGAGAAGCCCGGAATAATCAATATTAGTTAACTTTATGTAACTTTCAAACAAAGACGGTTCAATCCTAGCAGAATACATTTCAAAGGCTGAAATTAATAATCAAAGTAAATTTAAAACAAGAAATCGAGGTTGATCTCATGTGCCCAACACCCTGAAAGAATGTCATTTCCTTGTCTTTGGTAAAGGCCACAAGCCATGGGCACGTGTAACCGTTCCTATGGAAATCTCTCTAACGATAACACTGTAACAAAAACAGGTGTTTTCGCCACTGAAGCCGCCCACAGCTAATCGTGTGCCGAGATTGCCTCCTGGACAAGAGACCAAAGAAGGCCAGGTCATTTACCTGGCAGAGTTCGTCACACTGATGGGCCCGCAAGCCATACCCCGGCTTCAGAAGGCCCATCTCAACTTCACCTTTTGTCCGACCCCACGGATGGGTCGCGGTACGTCATCGAGGCCAGGGTCATTAGTATGGACATGAAAAGTACTTGGAGCCAGTGCATCTGTGACAAATACCCGTTTGAGGTAAGTTTTCCCCCTTATCTTTCCAAGCCGCAGAAATCACGCGGTTTCGCATGAGTCCGAGTGTGTGGATAGCACACAGTGACTGAAAATATTTGAACCCAAACTTTGAGATTCTCTTTTATTCTGTTTCCATACCCCCACAGTCTGGTTATCTATTCTACTTTAAGACTTAATTTACAAAATCATCAATTGAAGATTTTTGTGTTTGGCGACACTTCTCTTGAATGGTGTCACATACAATACAGACCAATAAATCCTTATATGACGGAGCAATGTGCGGGCCTTTTGCGTATTTCAAACGGTCTTGCATCGTCTGTTTTTGCGTTTACAACCAAAATACTTTTCCCCCATCTTTTTAAATAATCGGTTGAGTCATCCTGAGAACATCATCGGTTGTAACAACACACCGCTACCCATCAACACCGTGGTTACCGCATGGGGGCAATGGAAGCAGTTGTACGCCCTCGTTGTCTGCTTCGATGGGCCTTATGATCCCAAGTCTCATTCCTACGTTGGCCAATTCGAATTTACCGCGGTGGCAATCAAAGTGTAAAGGTTTCTGAAGCTACAGCGAATAGCAACGTCAGGCCCACAAATCCTGCTGGAGTAACGAGACAGAGCAATGTGTTAAAACCCTTCTCGAATGAAAGTCGCTCTCTCGGCGAATAAGTCAGTAGAACACTTATGAGGCGAATAATTCAGTAGAACCATTTCAAGCAGCATAACTCGAGTGAAAATGATTGTGTGCATGTAGTAACGAGTAAAATTGCGCAACTCAAGAACAGCAATTGGTGGCTTGATTACTGTACTTCAGTCCTCGTCCATTTATCCGACCATTAATCCTTGTAACGGATTTTGGCTTTTTTGCTCTCGCCACTGAGCAGAGAGCAAATATTAGCTAGAGCAACTCACTTGGAGCAACTCTGTTTTCGTATCGAATCAAGTTTCATTTCACCTGCCGACTGTGATGGTGTCACCTAACAGTTTCTGCATTTTCTGTGTGCATGTGCCTTCACATTACCCATTGTTGACATCAAAGGATGTTCTTGTAGGACCCATCTCACAGCCGTAGAGAGATGGGTTGGATTATGGGCTGCCTCATGCCGACTCATATTAACACAAGCTTACATGTTTGGCTAGTGTATATGTGCAGTTTCAAACCAATTCGATGTGGGAATCTTGTTGTCATGACCGGCAAAAGTTATAGCAGTTTGGCTGACCCGTCTCAATAAAGAAAAAAAAGAAAGGTTTTCACGAAATCAGTTTCCCGATTGTCATCCTGGCAATACTGGTGAAAACCTCCCAAAGGTTGAGCACATAGTGACAATATCGTAATGTCGGCAGATTTCACCTTGGCTCGTTTAGGGTTAAAACACATCATTACGGTAAATATGGGTACACGGTTAGCCTCTCAACAGCCTAAGCCCAGCTTCAATGAGCTACAATAGGCACAGACGAAAACTGCCCACGAAATTGGGGTTACCAGCCTAAACAATACGGTGTTGTGGCCTCCACTGTCTGCGACTGGTTCCCTGCTTGAAATGGTGTTGGTATCACACGGTATGCCCTGCCTGGGGGTGCACCCTTATAAATACATTCCAACAGACACCAGTGATAAATTCCAACACTTTAAAATTATGTTAGAAATACTTACAACTGTCACAGCTGTCCAGGCTGGACAGAAAGATGATGTTCGATATGTCCACTTAATTTTCCTTCCAAGTTTTAGTAGGCTGGATAATGCATTTTTGAGAATTCTTCAGCCAAAGCAGACTACCCCAAAACTAAGTGAGATTTCCCCTGCTCAGAAAAGTGGCCATTTTGAAACTTCATCCCTCTCGAAAACGGCTAAATAGTGCTACTTTCGCAGCTAATTACATCCACATTATTCCGAAATAGAAGTCCTAAGTCTAGGCTAGAGGCTTGGTGCCATGTTTTTTTCAACTCCCCTATTCTATGGCTCTGAGAACCCTCTAATACAGAATACTTTGGGTGTGTGATTTTTATTAGTGAGCTAGGTGGACATATCTCTGGCCTACTTGCAGGCTGCACACTTATTGGCTCATACACTTGCATTATGTACGTCTGGATATGCGCATGACATTTTGCTCAGCGGACATACCACCGCATACAGTGCTGAACACTATGTCTCTGCTTCTTCATTGTAAACCAAAGTTCGTCATTTTGTGCTCAAAATGACAAACAGGTAGGTCGGATCTCAGTAATTTGTAAAATCAGAACAGGACTGGTATTTAGTCGACAGTGACTGACCTTGATCAAATTTGACTAATATGTGAATTTTCTTCTACAAATAAATGCTAGTCATTGGACTGTCTGATTAATTTGAATTAGTCATTGACCTTTTATGTCAGACATACAGCTGGACTAACTTTTATCAGTCAAAATGACTTATATTTGTTTACAGTGTTCGCAAACTCCCCCCTGTCTGCAACTCTTCATGTCCGGCCTATTCTTTCACCGCTGCTGCTATAATAATAAAAAAGCAACATGTTTACAAAAATGGCTCCTATAATAAAGTTGAATGAAATGAAATGAAATGATTGGTAGCTAGTATGTATTCACTTATCAACATGTCGTATGTTAGTAACTCATTTTCTTAACAACCAACCTTACTTTTAACATCCTGTTGTTCTCCATGTTTTGTCTCAAGGTAACATCAGACATGCTTGGCGGCGGGGATAAATAAAATAATTAATGAATTTCAAAAATCAAAATTTAAAAAGTTGTGCGACTTTAAATAATGATAACTAAGTAGATTCCTTCAGCTTTGATCTTTATTCGGAAGTGCATATTAAAAAAAATAGTTTAGAAACTTCTGGAGGGAACTGTTTTTCAGGGGAAAACTTTGGAATGCATTTTAGAAATAATCGTGAACAATTACTGCTCAATGGCACTTATGCAGTAAGACAAACAAATCACTTTGGAGAAAGACATTTTAAGTGGAAGCAAAAATGTCCTCAATTTGGGCAAACAGCTGCAAGCTTAAGGTTCCATTTGCAAACCTCACGACAATGTTTTCCTTATTTAATATGCAAGTCATTATTAGCATAATAAAAATAGAGGGCATCAACCGACGCCTAAAACAATTAATTAAGCAGAGGGGACCCTGTTTGCTGCCTATAGTAAACTGAGGAGTACGCTCATGACCTGTCTATACGCGTGTGGTACCCCATCCCTTGGATGCGTGTTCACAGTGGAATACAACTAATGACGCCCTCTGAAAGTGGTGGGAAGCTGGGGGGGTACAGTATGCATGGACTCATTTTAAACTAATAGCTCCAATATGGGCCCACGGATGGACAAAGAGAGGGCGCAATTTCCCCAGCAACAGAAGCTCCTTTTGGTAGCGACTGCGCACAACTGGTTCACGAACGATTAATAAACACAAGCTTTGCAGTCATGTCGCTTTTCACCAACAACATGAACACTCCCGACCGACATGGCTCTTTTCAACTGATGAGGAGGTGCTTCTGCTCAGGACGGATAGCCGTAGACCCCAGTCCTCTGTGACGCAACTGGAGGGATAAGAATAATGAGCCTTTTTTTTTGGGGGGGGGAATCAGGTCCACCCCCAACAAACCCACTAGACCATGGACGTTAATCCTGGTGGATGTGGGTCATACACCAACGCACATTTGTGGAGGTGAGGGGGCTATTGAATCATCCCCTTAATACTTGTTGTGATGAGCAACAAAAATCAAAGAAGACTGAAGAAATTTCGGCATTTCCCAACAACTATACTTGCAATATCACTAAAGGGGGAAGCAGTTTCAAAAGCCATAACTGTGCAATTCTGATGTAGGATTCTGCATGAATTTGGTTCACATTACAGATGTTCATCTTTAAAAAGAACATTGCCTCCTATATAGTGTACATGGTGCCTCCCCCCTCCACTTTTCAAATTCCCATGGCCGGGAAAGTCACCCCCACCTTTCCGCATCCCCACCCCCAATTTTCAACACAGATTTATGTCACTACACTTGACGCATTTCCTTAATTACCAATTGAGGAAAACATCAATATGATAGCAAATGATTTTTCTCCCCGTTGGTGGCGGTGACTATGATATACTTCGTCGTCTATTTTTACTTTGGATTCAGGTAGGTTCAGCCTGCTTGAATTCTGTTTGGTTCTCTCTTTTGCTTCGGTTGAATTCGCGATTTGGCGTGGGAACACAAGGGTGGGCTTATTTCAGGCCTCATACTGCAAGACCCTTTGTCAAAGATTAGAGTAATCTTTCCAGCATTATTGTTTTCACTCGTTTGCTTTTGGAATGAGTAAAAAAAAAAGGGGAAAAAAAGCCTTAGCTATTTTCGATTTAAAAAAAAAACTGTTTGAAATAAAATCAGACTCTAATTGCAGAAGACATTTTTCGAACAGCTGAGAGCTGTCCATCCCATTGTGGGGTTTCATTTTTTTAAAACTTCTGCAATCCAGTGGCGCTAAGACTAAAAACCGTAAAAGCGTATGCCCAATATGGTTTCCTAAGTGCAGCGGACCCTCCCGTTCAAGGTTTTTGTGACGCACGTCGCATCAATGTTACAACGCACCCACTTGCAACCACATAAAGTTCGTGTACAATATCCCCCATCACGATGTTCCCTACCAGAACAGCCTCATGAGCTGGTCAATTTCGGGGTTTTTCTGAAGTCTGAGTACCCAGAGTGAGTAGAGAGGTGGCTTTTATCATGGAGGAAGGACACAGGAGTAGTAACTCAGGCACTTCAAATCGTCCAATGGTGGTCGCCGCCGAGTTTGACGAATAATAGAAAACATTCCAAAAATGCCTTATCGCAGCCTGCATCCTAGCTGGACAAGTGGAGCCAGTAATACTCTGGCAATACTTGTATTTTTTTGCTTGCAATTAAATACAAACTGTCGATGTGACCAAGAAAAAGAGAGAGAAAAATTCCTGATATTAGACCTACTTTTGCCATCATAAATAAACTTTTTAAATTTTGACACACTGTTTCATTATCCATGCAAAGTTTGTAATTCTAGTCTCCTCCGTCCAATATAAATCAGTGTCAAAGACTTGGAACGAATTTGGCTAAGACTGGCCATCAAAATGTTCACTACTACCGGAAAGCTTAATTCATTAAGAACAAAACACGCTATTTCATCACAGAGAGTGATCGTGAAATCTCATAAAATACGCCTTTGTACAAATGCCATAATAAAATTGATTCAAACAAAACACGAAATCTACAAACAGCTTGGCTATTTATTCCTAAAAGAAGCCCAGAAGAAAGCGTTCGATAAGAGCAACAACTGCACATGAACACTTTGGGTACACAGCCTAATAAAAGCGACTGCGCAAACACGACATTTGATGATGTTGTCGGATCATAGCAAGCGCCAACGATGGCATGAATATCCAACTTCCTATACTGCAGTAGACAACGTTTCGGGGATGCAGATTACTAACGAAAAATTGCGGCGACGATCATGGGATACAAAGGGATCTTATCGTTGCAAAACAGGTGGTGGGTGGCAGGCGAGCGCTGCACTCTGGCTATGGACATACCGGTCATGCCAGAAAGCGGTATTTGGCCAGATGTTATAGCCTGGGCAGTTCAAATTCCTTCTGTATCCTTCCTCGATGCTTTTACAATGGATCAGGAAATCCGCCCACGCTGTTTTCTTGCTGTTATGCCTCGCCACTCACGGGAGACAATGCATAATGCTGGTTAAAGGAAACTCAGGTATAATGCAAAAACTCCAGATTGCTAAAGTTATCAGCTGCTTAGCGAATATCTCCTTGAGACTTAAAATCTTGTTCTAAAAGCTTTTTTAACTCAATCACGGATGTGCAAACCAGGAGTGGGTGGTGGAAGGGAGCATATTGACCAGAGAAGTGGGCTAATAATTCACCTCTCCTCCCCTTTTTGACCGGGGGAGGTGTGGAATCACCACTCCCCCACTTTTTCGTGGTGAGAAAGAAAATAAAGCTGATGGTGAAGACTTTGTGGACTTTCAAAGAACAATGTTTCTTCAACAGCACTCCGAAAGGGAAAACAAAGGGAACAATCCTTCAAATGTTCCATTTTGATGTAAACTTCTGCAGGAAAGACGAACATCTTTATCCTTAACAATGCCCCCGGTGTCTCCTTACAACAGGAAATTACAGCTGCATCAATTCCAACTGGTAATGGTCTTGAGTTACAATTGAATGAAAGTTCCCCAAGACGGGGGGAATTTCCGTCTGTTCTGGAATGTTCCGACCTCATTGCGCAAGGACGGGATTACCCGAGCTGCTCCAGGAAATCCAGGGTAGTGCCGCGCTCAGCTGACGAGGGGTGAAAAGCAGCTTGCGTGGTTTGTCGGCGAGCCAGTGTAAGGGACGATTTCGTCAAGCAAACACTTCCTTGGATACATCGACTGCTCAAAAAAGAGGGCCGATCCTGCATCTGCACATTAAACTCGCAAAAGCGAAGCATATATCGTCTACTTAACGTTACAGTCGATCGTTTCACCATGAGGCACGTCGCGATGCTTCTGATGTGTGTCTCAGCGTTGCTCGCTGTCGGTAAGTAAAACGACAAAACTGAAAGTTGGGATTAAGAAGATAACCCTACCACAAGGGCAGGTCTACTGAACTGGCATATCATTTTGTCTATAACCCAAAAGTATGCACCATAAATAAGTGCTTATCGATGTGGTATGCAGCCCGTGAACATGATAGAGGCAGTGCGTCTTAACTTAAGTCCATGTCTATCTTACCGGATGTGTGTAGTCTGTATCTGGTGGGCTACCGATGCACTAGTTGTATCCAGCCATTTCTGATTTGTTTTTCATGTCGCTTACATTGTGCTGCAGCTGAGGCATGTCCCTTTATGTCACGTAGGTTTCTTTTTCCTGTTTGTTGGTTTCCTCCTGTGTTCTGTCTCACAAAGCATTGTCTTGGCAGTACACGCAGTTCCATTCTAAGTTGTTTTGTAAGAATCTGTTAATGCTGTATACATGTTGAAGTTATGCCCTGAAAAGTGCTCTACAACAGTTCAAGGGGGGGGGGTTATAGAGAAAATGCACATACTCTAAACTCACTGCTCAAACTCTGGTTACAAACACTTCATATTTGTACATTATGTACGGCACATGCAAAGTATTGTTAGGCTAACGATATTTCTGGCTGGTACACAAACCATCCGGGGTTGTTACTCTTAATACTTGCGAGTTGCGTGCACAATATTCTAGATCGCAGCACTTGATCGTCCGCACGGCGTGTGCAGCATAGCTATTCAACGTTTAAAGGTGGGCTGTGTGCAGCTATCCCCAAAATAAGTGAACAAATTGTTACTGATTAATGTTGACTTCTGCGAAATATACCAATGGCATTAGACACCCTGTTAACTTGTCCTGTCTGACACGCTATCATTTTGGAGACAACGATTATAAAAGTAGGTCATTTCTACGGATGCATCAGGCAGCATTTTACACTACCACATCTTTCTACATTACCAAGGTATGGATTAAAGGAAACCAGCCTGATGTCATACAGTTACAGACAAGTTATCTGTGTTGTACATATGTGACTGACTGCAAAAATGGCCCTTGGGCTCTCGTGTGACAAATTGATTTTAAGTGATGCCTACAGAGGGATCCCAATACGACGCTTTTAGCGTCAATCTGCGCACTTCCGCGGTTTGAAACGAGGCTGTATGTTTCAGCTTCAATTCTTAATACGATCAGACGACTGAAAGTAAGGAGTTAAGACACAAAATACACGAAGGGAAGTTAAATTCGATGCAGATATGCACAGACGGCGCTCGTGTGAAATTCTTCTATGGAAAGCATTTTAATAAGGATTAAATATATACATTTTTAACCTCTGTCACACACCATTAATTCCCGAGATACAGTAAAATTTCGTAATTTTGCAATGGTCCGCTACATACAGAGGCAGAGCATGACGTAAGGGCCTTTTTTGCAGAGTGGGTCACGTGTTATTGTAAGAAAAGTTAAAGTCAAATCGAAGAGCCGGTCATAATGTAGTTAATTTAAGGATTTCTTTTGCATCTATAGGGGATTTTGTTTCTAAATTTTTCTAAAGTTTTTGCATGTAGTTAATCGAGTCAGAAACTCTTTCCTTTCAATATATTATTTACAACTAGGAAAACCGTAGAAACTTATCAAATTGGCAATAATCAAGTGAAAAACTTCTCACTTCTTTAATTAGAACACTATTTTGGCAAGTTTTTAATCGAAAGTTGCTAGTATGTTTTCTGACGCAGGACAAAACATAAATATTACTGAAACGACATGCATCTTGAATAACAAATTTGTCATTATCGTTTTGCTTTGCTTTCTGAAAAGCCGTCTAGCTAAATGTCGCATCTCTATTTCGCAGTGCAAACAATCAGGCCACCTGTCGTTAAGCAAAATCTCGCATACTCGCATTTGGATACACCTGCGGAAAAAGGAAAATTCTACAGTTAAATGAACTTCCAAATAGCATCACTCCATAGAGAATTACGCCTTTCCTGCAGAGAAAGGTCGCAATGCAGGACAGTGTTCAGCTTGTTTGTGCGCGTGAGCTGGTCTTCGTAAGTTGGCTGCTATCTGTTGGTCTGTAGTTACACCAATTCATTTAAGTGTCTAGAATTTAAAAGAGCATTTTGCGGACAGAAGGCATTAGATCCTTCAGAAGGTGACGTCGCCAGGTTGTATGACACCTACAAACTTGCCTTATTCCTCATAATCTCCACTCTAGGTACGTGTTAGCGAGCATAACACATACTCATGAGAAACTAGAACCGTACTGCTCTTGGCCCATAATCAGGGGACGTTGTTTGAGAAACGAAACTTCAAGCAGGCTAATAAAGGCTTGTTTATTGCAGTGGGCCAAGAAAGTCGTCTTATCCATCACAGGTTAAGCTATTTTCTTGGCTACAGTCAGTGGCAAATCCCTGTCGGGGGGGGTATGTCTTATTTTCCACAATTACTTTGTCCATTTCGGGACCAATCATCAGGCTACGTAAGTGGCACCTTTTCTAGATGGAAGTACCGTTTCTAGAATGCTGTTAGTTCAAATCCCTAAAAAAGGCGCTGGCTATTATCAGATTGCTTAAAACTATCCAGTTCAGGGCCTGCTGGCTCCTGATTTGACCAAGAGCATGGTTGATGGGTTATATATAACTGCCGTTTGTTCGCTCAGGAGCACAGTTGTTAGCATGAGTAACCCGTTTAAACACGGTCAAATTTAGCGATGTAGGTCGCTGTCAAAATGCATATGAGAAAAACAAATTACACCAAATGAAATATTTGGACTTGTCTAATGATTTGTACTTAATACGTGAGAAAAACATTATTACGGTGGGTGCTACTTTACTAATGCCACGACGAGAGAAGGTAATTATGCAACATCTGAATAAATCCCCGTCACTTGACTGATGATTTGCCGATCACAGTAATCGGTCCAAATCATATGCAGCAAGGTATGAGACGGAGAGAACA